GAAAGTGTGCAGCCGGGCAAAAAAACTGTTCAGTGTCTGTCTGTCAACTGTGTGGGAAGGATTTGGGTGTGAAATATTTGAAAATAGAAAGCCGGCTGAAATGTTGATAAATCGCTAATTGCATTTATCTGCAGAAAAACTACATCAACAATTTCTGACGAAGTATACGGAGGTACGGCAATAGAAGGTTAGTAAGATTTAAATAGATTATAACGAGAACCGGTGTATTACACACATTGCATATTGCACGAATATATATATATATATATATATATATATATATATATATATATATATACTCAAATATTAATCGAATGCGACTAATTCTTTGTCTTATTTTGCAATAAACGCAGGCAGAATATTAGCAAACTCAATATTAATGATAAATATTAAACGTTAATTTCTTTTGTCTGTTGCATACATCGCCATTGAATCGGTGTACAATAACTGCGCGCGCAATCAAATTGCCATAATGAATGGGACCAGGATGATGTTGCGGGAATATCACGGAAAAACTTCTGATGGGAGGGTCTCACAACGAGTGCACAAACCTTTTGGGGGGTGTGATTTGACTCGATTTGCATAGAAGGGGCTCTAACATTATTCCCATCGATTAACTAATGTTAAATGTAAACGTGCGACAGCAATAACTGAAAGAGCGCAGCTCCATGGAGGACGCCATGTCCATGCTGCGCAGCGCAATCCTGTCCGATGTGAGCAGCGCCCCAGGTTTTACGTAAAATTGAAAATTATGAAGAAATGAGGTTAACCGTTTGTGTGACGCACAATGATAGAGGGGAAATGGACACCGCCACTCTTATAGAACGGAAGAAATNGAGGTGCCAGTATATTTATCATCTAGCCGCGTTAATTGCACTAAACTATACTTATGGCTCCGCACCACGCTCCGAAATCATAACTCCACGGCGGAACATTTCGCGTGCTGTCGGTCGCCATCGCGTGCCACCAACCATATCGAGGCGCAGTTCGTCGCACTAACGGCGGGTCGTCTCAACGCAGATAATACACATAACACAGTAGATTTTGCATTGCATATTACGCATGTTGAGAGGCGAATCTCCAACCGTGATACCAACAATCGCTCTTCGGATTATCGGCGTCTATGCAGACGCTATATATGACATAAACCACTATATTGCTTACTTACTTAAGCACGGTACCGGATATGAGGACTCTCGTCAGTTTCATAATTTTGTTGATAAAGAATACAGAGTTGCACTAATCCTTAGTCTTATGATACCAGAACTAGGTTGTGTTATCTATTTATTTTATACCTTAATGGATTTTATATATACCTGATTTGTAATTTGATCAGCTTAATTGATTAGTGGCCTTATTGTGTTATAGATGTTTCTTATACAAGTTAGATATTGATAATAGTTTAAACCCATAGCAAGTAATTTATTATATTTGATATCTCATTTTTTGACAACACTTTATCAAATATGAAATGAGTGTAAAGTAAATGTTGGAAAGATATCTTTGCTGTTGCTTCACATGAAAGTGATAAGTTAAAATAAGTTTGGAATTGTAATAATATGTCAGCTGTATTGATGGAAATCAATTTTTGTTTTTAAACTTTAGAAATTTAATTATGAACATCTTGCTTACAGTCAAAACCGTCATAGCGTCATACCTTTAGAAGAATAGACTCTTTTGAAATGAAGACGCATGTTTGAATCTTGGCCTGAATACCAATGAACAATATTCCCCTTACACTATGGGTGTAATAGTTTTGAATTCACGGCCATAGTTTTGAATTCTCGGCCATAGTTTAGAAATCATGGCCATAGTTATGTACTCTTGAACATAGTTTTGTATTCCTGCTGAACAATGCTTTTTTAGTTTTTTTTGTTTTTTTTTATTCATGGCTGATTGAAATTTGTAGCACATAGTTTTGAAATCTGGTGCTAGTTTGAAATCATGTGTTAGATTAGAAACTTGAGATAAGTGAACCTTTAAATAGATAGATTTAATATCTCGGCACAGTTGAACTTTGAAAGTACATAGTTTTAAAATTTTGAAACAAGTGAGCTTTAAAGTACTGTCGACTTAGTGTGAATCTTTGTGAACTACATTGCTGAAGTTTACGCCATTGTGTACGAAAATGGCCTCAGCTCGTGGAGAAATTGAAGCTGACCTCAGAATGGCTTGGCTGGCATTAGAAAAGAGCGTGGAATAGCAAAAGGACTTATTACACGTTTGATAAATAATATTGATAATATCCCCAAAAACAAGGAACATGTTGAAAAGGTTAAAGAAAAGATCAGCTCATTACCTGAAATAGTGCAACGATTTGAGGAAGCTCATCAGCTGTACATAGCATCACTTAAGGATGACGGAGCAAAACAAGAGGCCCTGCTATTTCATCAAACAGTCATCGATAATGCAGAAAGTTTTGAACAAGCTATTTACACATCGTGGTGGCAGATGAAGAGGATGATTTCATCACCAACAAACCCCTCATTGTTCCTGACATGGCAGCATTGGAAGAAGAGTATCGTAAAACAGCACAAGTTCTTACTGACATTCAAAGGGCTAGACCATTAGAAGAAGAAATATACAAGATAAAGCTCAAGGCTCAGATGTATATTCACCAACTGCAACAGGCAAAATACCAGAATGAAGTCCGATTGCAGAAAGAAAGACAAGATGATCTGGTTAAACAACAGTGCCTGGAAGAGGAACTGGAGCAACGAGAAATACATACCAAAACCAAAGGCATGGGTCCCACACTTAATATACCCCTTACGTCTACTCCGGGACATGCTGATGGTGAAAGGACCATACCTGTTAGAAGTACACCTCAACGTAGCTCTACCAGACCATCAAGATTGTCTTGGGAACCATTAAACATAACAAGTGAGGAAAGTGAGCAGATAATGTTTGTGAAAACAGTGATCGCAGGTGTTGTAAGTGAAGTGTTGAATGAATCACGTGTGCAACAACAGAGTATAGTGGACTCTCTTCAGCTACCTCGTCGAGAACTGCAAACCTTTGATGGTGATTCCTTGCGATATTGGCCATTCATAAGAAGTTTTCGGGCCATAGTGGATACAAAGAATATAGACTCGGCATCAAAACTGTCATGTTTGATGCAATACTGTAAAGGTAATGCCAGGAGGATACTTAATTGCTGTGAGACTATGGATCCAGAAGATGGATATGTTCAAGCACTGAAAATTTTAGAAGAAAGATATGGAAATAATTATGAAATTTCACAGAAGTGGATACAGAGGATTATAAACAGACCTAATTTAAAGGGACCCTCCGAGCTTAGAGATTTTGCTGATGACCTCAAGTGCTGTTATCAGACTTTAAAGAACATGGGTCATGAGAAAGAGTTAGACAATGCAGCTAGTTTACAGGCCATCTGGAGGAAATTACCGCAGTACTTGCAAGACAGATGGTCTCATGAAAATCATATTATAAAGAAAGATCAGAAGCGAATACCCAAGTTGAAGGACCTGGTCGACTTCATTATTGATGGAGCAGAAGAAGCTAATGACCCCATATTTTCTAGAGTTTCTTTCAGTGAGCTCAGAAGGGATAAAGAAATCAAAGAGAGAGAAGGAAGCTTTGCTGTGAAAGCCAGCTCAGTGAACAAGCAGTCAGTTACATCTGAGAATAGAACACAGAATTCTGACGGCTGCCCTTGCTGTGGACAAGAACATTATATGACTCAGTGTTTACGATTCAAAGCCATGAAGATTAAGGATCGTAGGAACTTTGTGATGCAGCATTAGTGGATGTGGCCTCAAACACAACAAGTTTCTTCATATGCCAACTAGACTGCAGGTTGGTTATGTGGACAACACAGGGAATCCAATTCTAGTATCAGATCAGAATATATCAACCACATCATCATCAATCACAACAAATCAGAGCAGCCATTATGTTCGTACATGTGGAGGTAAACTTGCTATGCCAATTGTACCTGCAAGAGTGTGGCGTCCAGGCTCTGATGTCTACATTGACACTTATGCTATGCTTGATCCTGGTAGTAACGCTACTTACTGCAGTGAGTTTCTGTGCAATCATTTAGGAATCCAAGGAACTATGCGCAATTTGGAGTTAACCACACTTACACAGAACCGAATGTCTGTGGAAACAACAGCAGTGTCTTTGACTGTTTCCAGTGTGAACGAGGTTAGTGACTTACAATACAACATAGAAGCAACTGTGAGACCAAGTCTGAATATAGATCTCACAGGTAGATCAACACAAATGGATGTTGTGCAGTGGCCGCACCTTAGAGATTTGGATATACCAGAAGTGAAGGCAGACCAAGTGCACTTACTGATTGGCCAAGACTCTTCAGACTTGTTGCTGCCAACTGATGTCAAAAGAGGTAAACAGGGAGAACCTTTTGCCTTGCTCACACCACTAGGCTGGGTCATAAATGGACCAGTGAACCCTTTTGGTAAGTCGACTAATTTTTCATATTTGATACAGGCAAGTGTACCATTGGAAGGTGATATGAAGAGACTATGGGAGATAGAGGATGCCTTTGCAGAAGAGAAGGGCTGGTCAGTTAGTGACCAGAAAGCAGTTGACACATGGAACAGTACACTCCAGGTGATAGAGGGACATTATGCATTGAGTATACCATTCAAGGCACAGCGACCTAGTTTACCTGACAACAAATTCCTAGCCGAGAAGAGGTTAATATCATTAACCAAGCCTTAACAAGGATGACACACTAAAAAGAAAATACTCTGAAGAAATCCATAAACTGTTAAAAAAGGATATGCAGAAGTAGTCCCTGAAAAAGACTTGCACCGCCATGATGGCAAAGTGTGGTATCTGCCGCACCACCCTGTGTTGAATCCAAAGAAACCAGAAAAGTGTCGCATTGTTTTTGACTGTGCTGCAAGTATGGTGGCTCTTCACTCAATGATCATGTGCATCAGGGACCAGATTTGACCAATGGACTTGTTGGTGTTCTGTTGAGATTCCGACAAGGAGCAGTGGGATTTATGGCCGATATAGAGTCCATGTTTCATCAAGTGTGTGTTACCCCTGAAGACAGAGACTCACTTCGCTTTCTGTGGTTTGAGAACAACAACACATCACAACCCCTACAGACCTTACGAATGACAGCTCATATCTTTGGAGGAGTATGGAGCCCGAGCTGTGCAAATTATGCCCTTCAAAAGGTAGTTGAAGAGTATCGCAACATGTATTCAGAAGTACTGAACACAGTTCTTCGCAACTTTTATGTGGACGACTGCCTGAAGTCTGCAAATAGTGTTGAGTCTGCTATAGTTTTAGCAAAGCAAGTTAAAGAGCTTCTGAATAGAAGGGGATTTCATCTTACTAAATATATTTCTTCATCACCAGAACTGCTGAAGCATATACCAAAGGAGGACCGAGGAAAATCTTTGATATCTCTGCAGTTGAATTTGGAGGATCAATCCACGGAGAGAGCTCTAGGTATGCTGTGGCATGTGAATACTGATTACTTAGGATTTGATGTACAAGTGATGCATAACAGAACCCAAACCAAAAGGAATGTGCTCAGTACACTTAGCACTGTGTTTGACCCTCTAGGCTATGTCAGTCCATTCATATTACAGGCTAAGAATATTTCAGCAATTGTGCAGACTACAAAAAGGCTGGGACCACTCCCATAGAACTGGAGGAACAATGGGGCCGGTGGTTAGCTGATTTGCCAGAGATTAAAAGGTTTAAGGTTCCCAGATGCTTTAATCCAACAGCTTTAACTATAAAAAAGGCTCAACTTCATTCTTCAGATGCTTCTGAATATGGGTATGGTGTTGCATCATACTTGAGAGTAATACTTGAGGATAACTCTGTATATATTAACTTGATTATGGCTAAGTCACGTCTCGCACCCCTGAAAGGTTCTACAATCCCAAGACTAGAACTAGCTGGAGCTCTAGAAGCTGTAAGGCTTGATAAAATTCTAACTAAAGAATTGGAGATACCTCTAGAAATATCAGTATACTGGGTGGATAGTCAAATAGTACTATGGTACTTGAACAGCTCAGATAAACGTTTCCAAACATATGTAGCAACAGAGTAGGTAAATTCTTGATCACACTGAAGTCAGTCAGTGGAGGTATGTACCTTCTGAAGAAAATCCTGGAGATGATGCATCTCGTGGAATGTCTGCATCAGATTTGCTGAGGAATGATAGGTGGGTTCATGGTCCAAATTTCTTACAGTGTGAAGAACATAAATGGCCTGTGCAACCACTGTTTAGATGTTCAGAATTGGAAGAATTCTTAGAACTGAAGGCAAGTCCAGTGGTTTGCAGTATAAAAAGTAATGCTGATCATACTTGTAAGTTACTAAACTACTACTCATCGTGGTTTAAAATGAGAAAGCTGTGGCGTGGTACATTAGACTTAAACATTTTAAAAAGGAAACCAAGGTTGGGACCTATAACAGTAAAAGAGTTCAAGGAAGCAGAGAGAAATATTATTTTGTATGTACAGAAGACTCTCCCAAAGGAACCTTTACAGTTAAAGAAGCTAAATCCAATCAAAGGAGATGATGATTTGCTGAGAGTGGGAGGCAGATTAACAAATTCTCAACTTGAAGAAGATGCAAAACACCCAGTGATTCTTCCACATGCCCACCATATTTCAAGATTGATTGTTGAAAGCTGTCACTTAAATACTGGACATGCTGGAGTGGAACGTGTATTAGCTGAAATCAGGAGAAAGTTCTGGATTTTAAAAGGAAGGAAGTTAGTGAAAAGTGTAGTGTATTCCTGTGTGACTTGCAAAAAGATGTTTGGTAAGACAGTACACCAGCAAATGGCAAACCTTCCTGAATCTCGTGTTATAGCTTATGAACCACCATTCAGTAGAGTAGGAGTGGACTATTTTGGGCCATTCTTAGTAAAGAAAGGTTGAAAAGAGGTATGGCTGTATATTTACGTGTTTTGCCACACGTGCCATACACATTGAAGTAGCATTTTCATTGGACACAGATAGTTTCATTCATGCGTTAGAAAGATTTATAGCAAGGAGAGGAGAACCTAAAGAAATCTGGTCAGATAATGGCACAAACTTTGTTGGAGCACATCAAGAATTGAAGAAAGCTATCCAGGAATGGAATCAAGACCAGATTCATGCTCATTTATTGAAGAAAGAAATAGACTGGAAGTTCAATCCACCAGCTGCATCACACATGGGTGGAGTGTGGAACGACAAAATACGGACCATTCGAAGAGTGCTGTCAAGTATGATCATACAGCAGGTGCTAGATGATGAAGCCATAATAACGTTAATGACTGTAGTGGAAGGTATCATAAACAACCGACCCATCACGAAGCTGTCCGAGGACCCAAGAGATGCTAGACCTCTAACACCGAACCACATGCTGATGCTGCGTTCAGGACCTTTATTACCACCTGGACAGTTTGTTGAAAAGGATCAATATAGAAGACGCTGGAAACAAGTCCAGTACCTGGCTGATGTATTTTGGCGTCGATGGATTAAAGAATATCTTCCTGGACTTCAAGAACGCCAAAAATGGATGAAACCTCAGAGAAATTTAGAAAATGGAGATCTAGTTCTTATCAAACAAGATTGTGTTCCTCGTAATCAGTGGCCCTTAGGATTAGTAGTGGGTGTTCATAAAGGAACAGATAATTTAGTACGTTCTGTTGATGTAAGAACAGGAACTGGTACTTATGAGAGACCGGTAACAAGGATTTGTTTGTTGGAAAACAAGGTATGTGATTCTTATAAAGCTTCAGGTAAACCCTAATCTATTATGATAGATTATGTTATTTTTTATTTGAATGTGGAATATATTTGCATAAATTGTAATAGGTATTCTAAAGTTTTGTTTACTCCAGCTTGGTGTTACATGATTTTTCTTTTGTAAATGCATCCATTATGGAGTGCATTTTGGGGCCGGGATGTAACACATGACATGTAACAAGTATTGAGATGGAATTATGATTTAAATAAATTGTACGTTTTGTATGGTCCCGTATGTTTGTGGAAGTTATCGTGCATCATACAAGTCGTGGGACGACATCTTTGTTTTGCGAGGAAGGAGGCAGTCAGCTCGCATCATATTTTGTTTGACCAGTGTGTGTTTATGAAATCTAAGGAAACGCCAAGAATTCAACCGTCATACCGTCGTAGCGTCATACCGTCGTAGCGTCATACCGTCATACTGTCATATCGTCGTATCTAACATCAAGCAAGGCCATATGTTCGTCTCCAACACATTCAAGTGCTGTTAAATGTACCTTTAGAAGAATAGACTCTTTTGAAATGAAGACGCGTGTTTGAATCTTGGCCTGAATACCAATGAACAATATTCCCCTTACACTATGGGTGTAATAATATATTTTATATATATTATATATAATATATAATATATAATATATTAAATATTATATATTT